TTTTTTTTTTTTTTTTCCCCAGAGTGTCTTGGCTTTCCATGCCTGAAATACTCTCATGGGCTTTTCAGCCAGATCTGAATGCCTTAAGGGCTAATTCTGAGGCCAGAGTGCTGTTTAGGACATCTGCCATTCTATGGTCTGCTGTGTATCTCACTTCCCATGTTGGATCATTCTTTCCTTTTTAATTCTATCAGTTAGTATTAGCAGGCACTAGTCTTGTTTATGTGATCCCTTTGACTCTTAATCCTATCATTATGATTGGTTGTGAACTGAAATTGATCACTTTGACTAGTGAGATGGCATTGGTACATGCCACCTTGATGAAATTGATTTTGAATCCCCTGGCACGTTTCTAACCCTACTGTTTGGGCAAGTCCGATAGAGCAATGTCCCAAATTGTACATCTCCTCCCTCTGTTATTCCCAATCTTATATTTAACAGGGATCACTTTTCAGTTAAATTTAAACACCTAAGAATAATTGTATGTTAATTAAAGAGTTCAACCAACAGTATTAAGTAGAACAAAAAAAATACTAAAAGTGATAAAGTATTAAGTTGTTCATCGATAGCCAGGACAAGGGCTGATCAAGTCACTGTTTCTCATAGTGTCCATTTCATTTCAACAAGTTTCCTTTTTGGTGCTCAGTTAGTTGTCACCGATCAGGGAGAATATATATTTGTCCCTGTGGGACTGGCTTAATTCACTCAGCATGATGTTTTCCAGATTCCTCCATTTTGTTGCAAATGACTGGGTTTCATTCTTATTCTGTAGAGTACATGTCCCATAATTTCTTTATCCAGTCTACTATTGATGGGCATTTGGGTTGGTTCCAGGTCTTAGCTATTGTGAATTGAGCTGCAATAAACATGAAGGTGCAGACAGCTTATTTGTTTGCCAATTTCATTTCCTTTGGGTAAATTCCAAGGAGTAGGATGGCTGGGTTGTATGGTAGGTTTATATTCAGGTTTTTGAGGAATCTGCAGACTGACTTCCATAGTGGATTTACCAGTTTACATTCCCACCAACAGTGGGTTAGTGTCCCTTTTTCCCCCACATCCTCACCAGCACCCCTTGTTGGTAGATTTCTGTATGTAAGCCATTCTAACTGGGGTGAGGTGATACCTCGTTGTGGTTTTGATTTGCATTTCCCTGATTGCTAGTGATCTTGAACATTTTTTCATGTGTCTGTTGGCCATTTGGATTTCCCCTTTTGAAAAATATCTATTGAGGTCCTTGGCCCATCTCTTAAGTGGGTTGTTTGTTTTGATCTTGTGGAGTTTCTTGATTTCTTTGTAGATTCTGGTTATCAACCCTTTATCCGTTGCATAGTTTGCAAATATTTTTTCCCATTCTGTCGGTTGTCTCTTCACTTTCCTGACTGTTTCTTTTGCAGTACAGAAGCTTCTCAATTCTTTACAATCCCAAATGTTAATTTTGGCTTTGACTGCCTGTGCTTCTGGGGTCTTTTCCAAGAAGTCTTTGCCTATGCCTATATCTTGCAGGGTTTTTCCAGTGTTCTCCAATAATTTGATGGTGTCGGGTCGTAGATTTAGGTCTTTAATCCATGTTGAGTGGATTTTTGTGTAAGGTGAAAGGTTTTCTGTGTCTTCCTGGTTCAGTTTAGGTAGGTTGTATGTTTCCAGTAGTCTATCCATTTCTAATAGATTTCCCTGTTTGCTGGCATACAAGTCCTTGTAGTAATTTCTGATGATTCTTTTTATTTCTGTGGTGTCTGTTGTTACATTTCCTTTTTCATCTCTGATTTTATTGATTTGGGTCTTTTCTTTTATTTAATTGGGCCAATGGGGTGTTAATTTTCTTTATTTTTTCAAAAAAAACAGCACTTAGTTTGGCTGATTTTTATAATGTTTTTTTTTGGATTCAATCCTGTTGATTTCTTCTCTGATTTATTTATTTCAAAATTGCTGAGAGCAAAGAGAAAGAGGGACCGTATATAAACTTTTACAATATTAGAAATAAGAAATTATAACGCTAATGTGAGAGATTTTTTAACAGTCAATGTAATATGTGCTGAAGTGTCATTTTAAAAATAAGGGGAAGTTTGCCAGCACTGCAGCTCACTAGGCTAATCCTCCGCCTTGCGGCACTGGCACACCAGGTTCTAGTCCCGGTCGGAGTGCCAGATTCTGTCCCGGTTGCCCCTCTTCCAGGCCAGCTCTCTGCTGTGGCCAGGGAGTGCAGTGGAGGATGGCCCGAGTCCTTGGGCCCTACATCCAATGGGAGACCAGGAGAAGCACCTGGCTCCTGCCATCGGATCACGCGGTGCGCTGGCTGCAGTGCGCCAGCCGTGGCAGCCATTGGAGGGTGAACCAACGGCAAAAGGAAGACCTTTCTCTCTGTCTCTCTCTCTCACTATCCTCTCTGCCTGTCCAGAGAATTAAAAATAAAAAATTACCCTTAAAAAAAGGAAGGGAGACCCCCTGTAACCCCCAAATAAATATCAATTAGAAAAAATGGCCCTTCTTCCCCCCTTTGGTGCCGCAAAAGGGGAATTTAAGAAAAAGTTTTTTTTGATTTTTTTTCCACCCTGAATAAGAAGAATTAATTCTGGCCCCTTCAAGGAAAACGGAAAACAAATTTTGGGAATTCCTGAGGGACTTAGGGATGCTCATCCCAAGAACAACTCAATTGATTTTATCTGTTTCCTTAAACCTGCTATGGACAATTCAATACAATATAGGCTGGATAAATTTCAACTAGTATGTTCAAAGTAGTTTAAAATACTCCAATTTTTTCGACTCATGGAGAAACTACAATCCTAAAGAAAGAATGTCAGTATAATAAAACAGACCCTTTGGTTTATAATCCAAAGTATCCAGGCTGGCGACACGGCTGACTAGGTTAATCCTCCGCCTTGCACCGGGTTCTAGTCCCGGTCGGGGCACTGGATTCTGTCCCGGTTGCCCCTCTTCCATGCCAGCTCTCTGCTGTGGCCAGGGAGTGCAGTGGAGGATGGCCCAAGTGCTTGGGCCCTGCACCTAATGGGAGACCAGGAGAAGTACCTGGCTCCTGCCATTGGGTCAGCACGGTGCGCTGGCCGCAGCGCGCCGGCCACAGCGGCCATTGGAGGGTGAACCAACGGCAAAAGGAAGACCTTTCTCTCTGTCTCTCTCTCTCTCACTATACACTCTGCCTGTCAAAAAATAAAAATAAAAAAATAACATAAAAAAAAAATAATGGGAATTGGGTGGACGCTGTGGCGTACCGGGTAAAGTCGCCTCCTGCGATGCTGGCATCCCGTATGGGTGTCAGTTCAACCTGGCTGCTCCACTTTCGATCCAGCTCTCTGCCATATCCTGGGAAAGCACTAGAAAATGGCCCAAGTGCTTGGGCCCCTAAACCCATGTGGGAGACCTGGAAGAACCTCCTGGCTCCTGGCTTTGTATCAGCCCAGCTCTGGCCATTGTGGCCATTTGGGCAATGATCCAATGGATGGAAGATCTCTCTCTCTTTCTCTCTCTCTATGCCTCTGCCTCTCTGTAACTTTGCTTTTCAAATAAATAAATTAATCTTTAAAAAATAATGGAGAGGGGAGGGCTGTTAATTAAAAGTATAGAAAATAAGATAAAATTACAATAAAATGTAGGAAGAGGTCATAACATCAATAAGTGCAATGAAATGTTAACTGGAAAAGTGACAAGTTCAAATAATTACATAGAACATAATGACTTTTTTACATTAAAAACATGATACACATACACAGACATTATATATAACTATATATATATATATTGAAATTTTATTTATTTATTTGAGAGGCAGAGTTGCAGATTCTTGGATGAGTCCACAGACTCTTTCCAAAGCCTTTCTCATACTGTGTGCTCATTCATGGGTGATTAAGAAAGAGATACAAAAACATCCCATGTTGAGAAGAACTATATAGAAAGACAAGATGCAGAACA